CACACACACACACACACACATACACACACACACACACACACATATTTATGTGAATATTTAAATCAGGTATCGTTGCTCAAAGGAAATCAGACTTTGGGCAACATTTCTTTAAAAAAAAAAAAAAGAATCGGAATGGGGGCGGGGGAATCGCACAAGGTATGAACTACAGTTGTTTCTTCTTTGCAAAAAGAAGAAGGAACCCGGTTTCACTGCGAAAAAAAATCTGCGATTCGAGACGTATCGGATAAATTTGCATGAGTGGGCGGCGACCGTCAGGTGTACGGTACTCAAAGGACACATCATGATGTACATGCGGCTGATGTCGTCTGCCAAAAAAGGTGTCGCATGGCGACACGCAACTCAGAACAAACCCCGATGAAAGCACGTTTTGGTAAAAACATATCTCATTTTTATTAATCATTACAGACTCAAGCATTTGATACTGGTAGTAGGCCTGTAAAATTTCGAGAAGAATATGTTGTTTTCATTCAAGTGTCAGTTCGAGGTCATTGCTTTATTTTATCGGTGTCAGAGATAACAATTCCGAGCCATGAAGCGAGTGGGCAGACGTCTGGTATAAATAGCGGCGATAGACGAATGAGGTACACACCCCGCCTCCCTCCCTCGAAACACACGCTGTCTCCTTGCCGACTGACTCGCCGCCTTGGCTTACAGCGAGAGAGCGCAACCCTGAGATTCCCTTCGTGCTCTCTCTCATTCCATCGTCAGCAGCACACAAAGAAAGAAGGTGAGTGAGTTCATGGTCACGAACGAGGGTTAGATGAACGCGATTGTGTGGATTTTCGTAAGGAAATTCTGCATTTTTCTTCTAATTTTTAGAGTTGGGGCAAGTTGTCAACCTTTTGAATCTTAACCAGTAGATCTAACACTGTACCCTAGGCGACCGCCTTTACTGTACCGGTATCCATGTTGAGGCGCTGATTTAACCCCTTACTCGTCTTTCATTTCAGCTCATTTTTCGAAACCTGTCAAATGAAGAGATAATGAATGTTATGGATGGAGCTTGTGGTCTTTACATCTGGGAAGACAACGATCGTTCTTATTCGTTAGCAAAGTGATTGGATTATATACCTCTATAATTATAAGTCAGACCGTGAATGCTGCGAAAATCAAAGATTTGTGATTGATACTGTTTGAGATAAATTTAGTTATTCAGGCAATATTTATTTTATGTTGTTTACTTCCCAGTTAGATCTAGAATCTAGATCTAGATCTAGATCTAGATGCTGTCAAAGAGTATCACATTTGCCAGTGCACTCCTTCACTTTTAATATTGTGACTCTGGAGACAACTCATTTTATTTGCTGTGTCTACGTCGCACACATGAATGAGCACACATTACTTTTTGTGCGTTTTAATTATGTGTGACCCCC